GGACAACCTAAAATAATACAAATATTAAATTATTTTTATTTTAATTTGAAATTATTTTATATTTTGAAAGTAAAAATATGCTTTATCATATATTATGAGCATATTGGGAATTGGGGTTTGTATAGAGGGGGATCAACTTAATGAATTCACATATCAAACTGACCATTGTCTCTTAAAATTTAGAAAATAAAAATTCAAAAAATTAGATATTTGTTATCTGGAGTGCTTGCTTGACCAACAGTAATTTGAAAAAAAATTATTATTTCTTAGAGAGCTGCATTTTTGTTTCTGGTTTCAGACATCATTTTTATGGCAAGGAAAAATCTGATCATTTGTTGAAATACAAGGAAAGACATTTACATTTCAAATATATTTTTTCTTTACTTTAGCAATTTTTATGCTTTATTATTTTTGTTTAATTGGGTATTATTAATTTTGCTTAATTGCAGCATTGCTTTTGCAGATGCTATATAGTGTTAGCACAATGGACCACAGGACAGATTAATATTAATACCTAGCAACCATTTATTCAATTCTCTGGTAAGTCAATATAAATCTCATTTGACACAAAGCCTATGGACATGGGTATGTTGCTAAGTTGCTTAGTATATACTTATGTCATGCAAGCAAACATGAAGTTTATGTGTTTGAGCTTTTTCATTTTTTTTTAATGAGGGACAAAAAAGAGTTGACTAAAGCATCAAATCCTGTACAACATGCAGACATTAGTGATGCAAATCTAGATAATGCATTTCAAAATACTTTTTAATCTTCACAATGTACACAATATTTAACTTTTGACAGAACTTGAAAAAAAAAAAAATGAAAATTTGACCCGGATTTCAGGCAAAATAATTTTGAATTTTTTCACTTTGGCAAAATAATTTGTAAAACTGAATCATAAGGGAAAAAACAAAATAACACCAAGTAGTTTTTGTTTATATTATTTTCAAATAAAAAAATTAAAAGATTATAAACAAGACAGTAAAACATGTACACACACACGCATATATATATACACACATATATATATATACATACCATATATACTCATGCAACACATAATCTCACATATTGTGCAACCCCCAAATTTTTCACTTATAAAAAATGATTTTATCATTTATATCATGTATCCGTTGAATTCCTTTTTTAAAAGATCAAATTACAATAGAGTAACCTCTTTCTTGTATCTCTTTATCCCATTTTCTAGTCAAATAAGTTAAAAAAATAAAAGAGAATGATAAAATTATTGTTAGTAATGCTATTGTCGTTGCGTAAATGTGTACTGCCATAAACAACTGAACATGAAACATCTTATAAAAGTAAACAATAGAAATGATGCATATTTGCTATGTTTGTATTTTATAAGACGATACTAATATGTAAATATGACATGCATTATTTTTGGATACAGTTAAGTAAAACATCATTTTTATCAAAATCATGTTTATTTTAAATACAGCTGTACTTTTTGACTACAGTAAATGGATATATATAGTTTGGTCAACGGCATAGTCAGAGCCAGCAGTAGATATGCTAATTTTATATCTTGTGTAAAATTAGCTTCAAAATTAGGTCTTCAAAAGTCACATGATATGCAAGTATATACGGTTTATGTGTGTGTGTGTGTGTGTGTGTTTTACTGCCATACTTATAATCTTTTAATATATATGTTAGAATTAGAATAAAAAACACAAAATAATTGGTCTCATCAGACCACTGGTGCTAGGACCAATAAGACAAAATGCCATTTAGGAAAAAGTTTATAAACTTAACATGTTTCACTTTTATCCTAAAATGTATAAATGTTTTCCCATTTGCTTCATATTTAATCATTCTGTCAGATTTATATATCAGTAAAAAAAAAAAAAAATAAAGATAATTTACTTAAGCTAAAAATAATAATAATATTGCCAAAAGTCGAATGTCTAGATTTAGAGTGAAATCTATTGAAAAAAGACTGCTTGGTAATATCAAAATTATTATATCTGTCACTTTGTGTTTTAATTTGAACAGTAAACAGATAACGACAAAATCAATTCTTTCTTTTAAATGCAGATAATGGAAATCTATTATTGTTCAACTTTTAATGATGGCAATTTCTGTCACTGTTAAAGCATTGATTACCAAAATTCATTGATTATTAAATTTAACTTATCACTGATTACAAAAATTTAACTCCATCAGGTCAATTAACAAAAGATAAAGTAGGAAGATTGTTGTAGATAAGTGAATATTTCTCATTTATTGTTTTTATCTGCACCTTTTCATTTTGTGAGTTTTCCATTCTATATGCAATTCATGTTGAATAGAGACAAGTACAAGTATTGCATGTGTGTCAACATTCCAATACAAAAACAACCTTTAAGGAAATAAAAAAAGAAAAGAAAAAGCCCTGAATATTGAATATGGCATCAAGACAAATTGAGACAAATATTGATTTAACAATTCAATCTTCAAATAATTTATATAAATTTATATAATTAGCAATGTTTACTTGTTATATTTTCTTTCAAGCTTTAAAATATTCACCAAACACCAAATAATGTTAAAATAATAGATAAAAAAAGCATAAAAACTAAACATAGAAGGGATATTCAGTAAATATATGACATTAAGTTCTTTTGTTTTTTAAGTCGTTTATTTCTCTAAAGAAAGTAACTATAACAATTAAAATTAAATATAACAGAAAAATATTTAAGGTGGGGGGGGTATGTTTTAATTCGTCATTTTACTGAAAATGCTGCTAAAAAGGACAGATTGGAATTATGGCCCATGACAACTATCAGAACCACTAGAGGGAGTCATTCTCCCTGAGAAATGCTGAAATGTATTTCTCACTTAATTTTTATACAACTGTATTTGTTTTCTATGATATAATTCAAGTATCAAAAGAGGCCAAATTTAACCTATCAAAAAATCTGTCAATATGGAAATATTTGAATTCATCTTTCCAAAACCTATATTATGGTTCTTAAAAGTGAGATGATAATAATACTACAGAATGGCTTTTCATTAGGTTATATTTTCATTATGCTTATATAGTAGATATTGAAAACAAAGAGAGAGAAAAAAATAAAAAAATTTTCTTCTATTATTTGTATTCATTTCAAAGAACAAAACAAATATTCAATGGAAGAAAAGGAGTAAGCTCTTAAATTCTAAATAAAATAACTTTTCAGTTTGTCAGTATAATCTTTAAGGGCTTTTCTTATTTTCTATTAGAAAAATTCTTAACGCTGTTTTTTAAATAGACACTTGATAACAATTACAAAAACTACAAGAATTTGTCTCTGGTTAGTTAAAAAATTCCTCTGATAAACTGACAAAATCAAAACTGAGTGGAGAGGGTGCTATTTAGAGGATAGTTAAATAAAAATTAACAGCCCAAAATTTAGCTAGCAATATAAATCACTTGAAATATTACAAATAAATTATATTTTAAAATTATTTTCATGTTTAAATTTTTGTCAGTGATTATTTAATATTTGCTTTTTACCTTGACAAAAAAAGTCAAAGAATGTTATTCAAAATAATTTCGGCTTTTTTAATTAACTAAAAGAAATTTAAAAGTTTCAGTATTTAATAAAATTCTGATCACAATATTAATTTACTTACATTAAATTAAATTCTGTCAGAAGACCATATTTTACAGGTGAAAATTTCTTGGTATTTCTTACCAGATCAGAAATAATTGGCTTATAAGGTCACCTCAATAAATGATACAATATAACAATTGTTCTATTTTTGGTTGATTGTATTTATTACATATTGATAAATAAAAACCATCCACCTAATATCAGCCAAAATAATAACTTTTATTATTAATTTATTTATTATTATTTGATAAGGTAAACTGAAAAATTATCAAATTATCAGAATTTGGTTATGTTGTGATGTGCAGGTTGCATACTTAAATGTTAATTCTTCTAATTCTTTTGGATATGTCCTTAATGAGATATTCCTGATTGCTTCACATACTGCTGTAGCTAAAAATTAATTGGCGATTTCATTTTCATCTCTATCCACTTTGTTATCTTTTAATTTCTTTCTTCTAACATTGTCTGTGGAATATTTTAACTACATTTCAATAAAGATCATATTGGTAGTGGCGTTGTTGTGAAGCATGACATTCAAGTTGGAAACCTTAACAACATATCATTTAAATGCAACATTTAACCCAAAAAATGAATTGGAAATATGCCAAACTTTATATGTAAAATTGAATTTCAAATATTTTGTTGATTAAAAGTGAAAAATTCACTCATAAATAAACTGGCTCTTTTTTTTTTATACATACATTTCTCAATGGAGAAATTATCAAACTGTCCAGATTTAATTAAACTTAATTCATATTTTCTTCAACAATATTGAAAAAAATAAAATGGCTTCATTAGTAAAGATGTTATTAATTAGGGAATTACCAAAGATATTTTAAGAACCGAATGTCAGAAGATAACATATGTGATCTGGAAAAAATAGAAGTCATTTAATTGAATGAAATTTAATTTTGAAGGTAAGATGAAAATGAGAATGAGAGAAATGCAATATTCTGCACAAACACCAAATGGATGCGGTATCATTTCATGAAACATTTTTATGTTTGGAGTTACCTCCCTTGTAATGCTATTCGATCAAAATATAATGGAAGAGTAAAATCCCGGTTTTTTTTTTTGTTTGTTTGTTTTTTGTTGTATTCTATTTAAATATGATCCAATCTTGACACCATGATTCTAATTACACACTAAGATTAAATATATTTAAACGGTTTCATTATCTATTTTACTATTTTCAATTTATGTTTAAAAGTTAAAAATATTTATCACAGCAAAATTAAATGGTAGAAGGAGCCTAGATTTAATAACTTTTGTCTTTAAAGTGGGAGGGGATTATTTCATCAAAATTATATCCTCGGTTGTAACCAAAAGTATTGTAATAATTTTTTTTTTTTTTTTTTTCATTTTCAGAATATTAACAGAAAAAAATTGAATACAATATTCTCAAGATGTTGGGTATGGCGGAGGAGGCTGAGAGGGCACAGGGCCTGGCATATTAAATCCTGGAGGTGGTGGAACCTGCCCTGGATAGCTAGGAGCACCTAAAATAAAAGACAATAGAACAATCATTAATAAAATACAAACAAATTAATAGTAGCTAAAGATCTTTAGTATCATGATTCATTTATTTCAGTTGTGAAAAAAATAAGAATATGGCTAGGATAGATAAAGTTTTTTTATTTTTATTCTAATGTCTGTAACCTCAACGATTACTTTGATTTAATTTACTTTTACAAATGAAGACATACAAATTGATAAGCAATTAATTTTATATAAATAACAATATGCTTTGATCTCTCTTGTCCAATCAAAAAGCAAAAATGAAAAAAATTGTGGGAAAATGAAATAAGACCAATAAATAAAATAATAATAAGGATTAAAAAAAATAAATTCATTTTTCCATGATGTAAGTTATAAAGAAACTGGAAAGGGTTTCTGGTTACAGCGCAAAGCTGACTTGGGCTCAACCATCTTTACCGATTCGTATCCTTACTTCTCATAAATTATTTCAGAACCAAAAAGGAAAATGGACATATTCAAGAGACCTTTTAACCTTGTTTCAATACAATCACCATAAAAGAAATAAACGTCCATAGCAGGTTTTTTTTTTGTCTGCTTCTTCAACACTTTCTTTGCTTACATATTGAACACACACCTTCACCTCAAGATATGCACAAAACCCACAAACTTGTTAACATCTACAAAATGCAATAAGTAAAAGTATACCATGTTCACAGATACAGATTGACAGATTTGTTTTTTATGGTTTATCAACTCTTTGTGAGTTCTATAAATTTGAAAGATGTTTCTGATTGTAGATAATTGCTTACAGTACCCAGTATCCCCAAGTGATCTCTCACCTAAGTACTAACCAGGCTTAATGTTGCTTAACTTCAGTGATCGAACAGGAACCAGTGTTTTCAGCATGATGTGACCAGATACAGTAAAAGTAATTAAGTATTTGTCAATATAAAAACAATGTAATATTGTATGACTATAGAAGTTATTGGTGGGGATTCTGATTTCTGTAAAGATTGGCAAAATGGAAAAAGTGTATATAAAAAAAAATTATTGCCATCAGGAAATAGATAAGCAGAAATGCTATTTTCACTATTTATATTCAGACTATTGTTCTTATCATTGCTGTTGCTATCACATTGTTTCAGCAACTTGTGCCCTCAGGTACTCCTCAGACATATATTGATCTGGGTAACCTAAAGGGTATTCTGAACTAAACTTTTTATTTAATCTACAAGAAAGTGGGCTAGTGGATAAAAAGCATTGGTTTGTGAATTTGGTGACATAGCGGTTGTGAGTTCAATCTTTGGATCAAGCAGTATATACTTACACTCATGGAAATGAATAAGCAATAACTGAACAGTACTGAATTTAAATTTACTAAAGTTAAGAACTAGATGATATCCCTAGACATGAACAGTGGAACAAGAACAATCTACTCCTACAGATTAAATAAAGGATTCAGTTCAGAATTCCTTGTAGGTTATCCAGATCAAGATACACCTGAGGAGTGTCAGAGGGCACAACAAACGAAATGTTGCAATAACAACAAAGATGAGGATAGTAGTCTGAATATAAATAGTGTAAATAATGATAACTTCTCATCCCATAAATTCAGGTAGAAAAAAATGTTTTGTCATATATTAACAATCTTTTCCTATTTTACATATTGAAATGTAATACAAACAAGACTATCCTTTTAATGTTTGAAGAGGAATGCTTTCTTCTACAAACATTTTTACAATAAAAAAAAACAAATTTATATTATATATTTTCCAGAGTGGAAATAAAAAAGAAGAAAAATTTCATAATAGTATTGATAATCAGTATTTAAGACTTTTGAAACCAATGGGTAGAAATCAATACAACAGTGAAACGAACAATGGATTTCTTCCAGAGATAAATAACATGATGGGAAGCAGGTATTAGTCATAAGTGTAGGGAATGTCATTTGGTATTGAACAATTAGAATAACTATAATTTGAATTAACATACCTTTGTACTGAATGGGTTAAGAACAAGAAATAAAAATTAAAATTTAAAAAAAAGTTGAATGTATCCAAATGTAATGAGTTTCTAGTTAAGAATCATCTTAATAAAAATAGATAATGAGATATATGTAAATGACCAAATATTTATCTCATGAGGTTGGTTCAGAGTTATATATTTTAAAAATTACATTGTTTTTTGTTGAAATTTTGCTTTTTAAATATAAAAAATGTATTAAAAGAAATTTGGTAAATTATAAGATTTTTGTAAATTACAGCTAATGTAGAAAATATTATTTTATTGTTACTTTTTTTATTATTAAAACAAATTCATTCATTTGTTCATTTTCTACAGCTTTTTGCAGGTTATTTAAAGCCAGAAAATATTTTTAGATTATAAGAATTTTTTTGAGATAACAATGATTTAGTGATACATGTATTACTAATTAACCCATAGCTGGGGGAGAACAGGCAGATTCATAACTTTCCCAAGGGTATTTGCATGTAAGTGAATACAACAAACACAACTGGAATTGGAACTCAGCCCTTCGATTAACATATTCTGAGCCATTATCCATTACATCACCTGAACATCCAGGCTTACAGCACTTGGTATTCCCAAGCAGTCACCCATCTAGGTACTGACCAGGCTGGATGTTGTTTAACCTCACTAATCATATGGAAACTGGTGTCTCAACATGATATGGCCATAAGCCCATAAATTATTTGGTTCAATTTACAGTTCATTTATAAATCATTCATATCTCTGAAACCAAATCCCATTTGATATTATGCTATGTGGCTATGTTAATGGCTTTTATATTTCTTTGGTTTGGAGATTAAATCTTGTGAAAAAAGAAATTCTATCTGCCAAAAAGGCTGAAAACTAAGGCAAAATTTGAATCAAAATCATTGCATTTGCTTGCATAACAATTTTAGTCTAATACTCTGTAAAAAAAAAAAAACAATAAAATAAATAAAATTGTCAGTAAATTTAATAAAGGAAAAAATATTTCTAATAATTTTTTTTAATAAGAAGCCAAAAGAATACAGCATTCCAATTGAGTTGTAAATATTTTATGACAATTAAAATTAATCATTTAATTTTGACAAATTAATCTTAACATTTTTTATGTTTTTTTTGTTTTTTTTAGTTTACCTGAGATAAAAGGTACATGAGTTTGAGTCTCACAAAGAGTGTAACTTATTTTTGATCTTGTGCTCCTGACTCATTGCCATAAATTGATGGCCAGAGTTAAGTTGTGATAAAAAGCAAATAAAAATAAAAGATGAAAGTAAATCGTGGTCAAAATGAATAATGCTTCATCTAATAAAAATAATCCAAAAATAATATTGCCACTCTAAAGAATGAATCTATTGAGACTGAAAAAGTATTCTAAACAGACAGTTATTTTATCTCCATCTTTTTTGGCAATGGAAGTACCAATTTTTCAAAGAAAATAAATGTAACAGTTAAAAGAAAAATCAATCTTTGAATTCACACAAACAACTGCAAGGGTAATTAACATTTTTTTTTTCTTTTTTCCCTTAGTTGATTTCTCTATATCTTTACTTTACTTTTTGAGATCAGTGTATTTTTACATTCATTTTTGGAAGATTTTCATATCTAGCCCGAATCTAAAATGCAACAAATTTTCTTTGTGTAATCAAACTTAATTTCTTTTTCTTTCAAATACTTTAGTAAATTAAAAATCACTCTGGAAAATATATAATCAAAATTCATAACTGTAACTGCACATGATTTTGCAAAACTATTTTTCATATTACATTAATCAAAACAAAAATTAAATTGATAATTTTAAAGATCTACTATCTTACTAGGATAAGGTGGTTGAGACAAATCCGGTTGGCCATAAGCAGGAGGGTAATTTTGACCAGGCAAAGGATGTTGAGGATAGCCTACAATAACAAAGAGACAGTAATAAAAATTAGTTTCATACTAACAAGAAAATATTGAACATTATAAGCAGAGTATAAATTTTGATTGGTTGATTTGTTTTTTATAGCTTATCAACCCTTTGGGGGTTATTTAAAACCAAAACCTATTTTGATTTGTAAGAACAATTCTTCTTTTGTGAGTGAATATGGTATTAACAATTTTTTCAGAATAACAGTGATTTTTCCAGACAATGTTCTACTATTTAACCCATAGGTTGAGGGAGGAGATGGATTCATACCTTTCACAAGGGAGTTTGTGCATAAGTGAATGTAATGAACCTGACTGGAATTTGAACTCATCTCTCCACTTTCTCATTCCAAGCCACTATCCACAACACCACCTGCACAAGCACTGTATAGTGTAAATGAAACAACAAAACTTGTTGAGCAAACGGTGTTTTTAAATGATTCTCAAACATGACAAATGGAAATTAGAAATGAAAAAATTAGCTAATGTAAAAATAATAAAATAAAATACATTCTTTTCTTTAAAAAAAAAATGTTAGTTTCCAGCAAAAATAAAAAAGTTTTTTTTATCAATCCCATTTTACTGTATCTATGACTACCTAAAGTTATTTGATAAACTTTTTAGAAAATATAACATTAAATGATGAAATAAGAACAAGAGTCTCCTTGATTCAATCTAAATGGCAAAGTTTAACATTCATATCTGCAAAATAACAAGGTGTCAAAAGGACTTTTTTTTGTCTTGACACCGCTTTTATCGCATACTCCATTTTGTTTTAAACAGTTATTTCTAGAACAAAACCCAAACATATGAAACTGGTTTTATGCATTGTTTTTTCTTTTTTTTTCTCACAAATTGACAATAAAAGTATTAAACTCTATATTTGTAAATAAACAAACTAATAAATAGTGTTTAATATTTTTCTTGTCAATTTTGAAAACAAAAAAAGTTATAAATCCAGATGCCTGCGAACAATTTTAGTGAATTTATATGGCAAGAGTAAATGAAAGAAATTCCTGGAAAATGCAATTTTCAATTATTTATGCATTTAGTTAAAATTTTTTTTCTCTTCTGCAAACATTTTTATAAATTTAAGAATAAAAAAAAATTTGTTTTCATATTTATTTCTTTATAATATAGTATATAATAAATACTGCATTGTAGTTGGGTCACATATTTTTATAAACTTGTAAATATAAAATTATTCTTGTAAATAAACAATCTAATAAAATAAATAGTGCTTATTTTATTGTCAATTCTTGAGAAAAAAGAAAATGCATAAATTGAGTTTCATATGTTTGGGTTTTATTAAAATTCTAAAATAATAAAAAAAACCAATAAAGATAGTCAAAGGAGCGTACAGTAATTGCAGTGTCGAGAGAAAAACAGACCTTTTGACACACTCGTTTTTTGTGAGTTAGAAGGCTAAAATTTGCCAACAAAATATCATTTTTTATCTCAATTATACAAAAGGGCCATTATTAGTAGTATATTATATTATTATTTTTTGTAATGCAGTTATATGAGCAAGGAGTTTTCAATTTTTAATTTCACAGGAAGCAAATTAAGTTTTCATAATAAAAAGTTATTTGCAGAAAATACAGATGAAATAATGGTTAACAGTCTAGAAAATAGAAATGGTGAGCAGAGTTCAAATTCTAGCTGAGCCATTTTGTGTTCAATTTTTACTAATTTTCTTTAGAAAAGCATTAATGTATCACTTTTTCTTCCATCCTCCATAATAGGTTAAATAGCATGGTAGACAGGGCTCTCTAGCCTTGGTATAACAATCAGGCTAGAAGAAAAAGGACAACTCTGAAACTGTGGAAAAGGCAAACCATTCCACTGTTTTCCAAGAATAATCATGACAATACACAATTTATAAATATGAAAAAGAAGCTGTGGAGATCTATAATCGTCTATGTTCTGAAGAGACATGGTATGTAAAGAGAAGCTATTTCTCTTTTACAAACATCTTGAATGTAAGAATTGTGGCCTGCCTTGTGGTCAAAATAATAGTTTATTCCTCTTACCCCATGGTAAGGATATTGTTGAATGTTGAATTTAAAGCAAGTAGGTCTTTCCTACTTGGAAATCTGGTGTAACACATTCTTCCTACACTCATTTAGGCTAAGGAGTTAAATGATAAGGGAGAATTTATTTTCTATTATTGTTGCTTTCTCTCTCAAGTCAAAATTAGTTTGTTTGTTTTTTTTTTGTGGGAGGTGATTTTATTTTTATTTATAGTTCACCGCCTGAGTATTGCTTGTTCACAATTAGGGCAATGATGATTAGATCAGGCAAGAGTCAGTAGTTTCACAGAATGTTTTCATAATTAAATTTAATAAACAGTTTGGATTAAATTATTCAGATAAGAAATAAATTTTCTTTTTTAATACCTGTCAAAAAGAATCTTTCTTACATGAAAATATGAATTTATAATAAAGATGATAAAAAAATACAACTGACTAATCGTTGTGAATAGAAGGAAATTTACAAAATATGGTTTTACTCTATACAATATATCAATAATTCTATTAATGCTCTATATTTGATATAGAACTCTTTATTGCCAAGACTGCTTGCCTTAACTGTTTTTTTCTCTCAATATCCCATTGACTGTCAGGATTTTTGGCTTCATACTATCGTTGACATTGCTATATTATATATATATTAATGTTTTATTATATATATATATATATATATATATATATATATATATAGTGATGTTTATTCAATATGTCAGATTTTCTTATGCAAATCAATGTTTTCACAATAAAATTGGTATTAACAACACCAATGTTGGTAAGAATTTCATTACATATTTACATTTATATGAGCAATATATTGTGTGATTATCAGTTTATAATCTTTATCTTTATTAAAAACATTGATAATAAATTATTTTGTGGTTGACAGTATTTATTATACTGCCAATAATAACAAAATATTCCATACACCTGAATAAATTACTCTTATTTTACATGTTAATATGTGCTCCTTGACATTCTGTAGCCTTCAACTGTCTTTTAACCTTTGATTTTGTTAACTTTCTTTTGACAGTTTTAACTTTGAAACAGTTTTATTGATTCTCAAAAATCTTTGCTTGAATATTGGTTTCCATTTTTTTACATTATTTACATGCAGACTATGGAGACAGGGTGAACAATAACTAAGCAGTATGACTTAAGAAGTGAGTGAGATATCCCTAAACATGGGCAGCTGAACAAGAACAATCTACCCTTGTAGATTGAATAAAGAGTTAAGTTTGAAGTTTCTTAAAAGTTACCTGGAACAACATGTATCTGAGGAAAGCTGGAGAACACAATGACTAAAATATTGTCATAACAACAACAGTGATGAGGACACTAGTTCACGTGTAAATAAATGTGTTTCATAATAAAATACATAATTGGAGAATCAAATTTAAATGATACACACATTTAAGCAAAGATACAAGACATGAAAGATATTTGAACATTTTTCAATTTCATTTCATAGTTGCTCTGTTTATAGCCATGTGTTTAACATGGTCTTGAATATTTGAAACTTTACATTAAAATTATACATTTTGATTCTAAGAAATTTGAAACAATGTGTTTTTATCCTTGAATCAGAAATATTAAAATTCAATATTTATTGGAGGTCAACTGAGTTTTGTAATTTTTCATTCATCAGAACTTTCGATAAGAATACAATCATTCTTATTAAAAGTCCTAACAAGTGAGAAATTACAAAAGTCAGAGTTGACCTCCAATAAGTATTGAACTTTAATATTTCTGATTCAATAATTATTGCTCTAGACAACTATCGAAGACTTTATTGGCAGAAATTGTGTTTGTCTTCGATAGATGTTAAATTATAAAATCTTGCTGTATATCAATAGGCAGCATTATTGCAATGTGTTTTTACATAGATTTCAAAATCTACATCATTTCACATATTTAAGAACCTTACAAAATATTCTAAATAAAAATATTCCCCAAAAATAAGCAATAGGTATTCATTAAAAAAAAAGATCTATTTGAACATTATTAATCCAACTAACTTTTGCTAGGAGCAAATAAAATACATTTAAATTTGAAATCAATTTTGGGGTGGGGAATGTGAAAGGAATTAAACAATAAATGGGATTGGATGACAGAACAAAAAGAAAGAGGAATGATAAAGAGTTAAATGTTACTTAGAACCAAAAAAGAAAAGAAATTGTGGAGAGCCATGATCACTTATGTCCTGACATGGCCAATAAAAGAAGAACTTTAAGCAATTCTATCTTCAAGTCCAACCATATGCATATTCAATCTGATAAGTTTTTATTTAAGCATGTCATATTGCATATTTATTTGTTCATTGGTTGGGCTAGAGACAAATCATTTCTTTTTATAAATATGGAAAGAAAAGAAACAAATTAGACAGGTTTTGCAAGAAAACAAATGTAAATCTAGAAATATTATGTACACTGATGTGCCAGCAGTATGTGAAGGTAATGGTAGGTGACGCCAGCATTCCTTGAAATCATAGAAATGCCCATCAATTATGCTCTGACAGCTAGCCAAACAGTGTGAACACCAACTGCTCATGGGAAAGTAACATTAATCTTTAATTAGAACATAGAACAACAGATGAATAAGACATTCTGTTTCTGAAATTGTGAGGACATTTGACATTTCTCAATCTACAGTGTGACATGTGTACTGGGAATACTTGATGGAAGGTCAGTGGACAGCACAATGACCAAACACAGATCCTTAATGATCATGATCAGAAACATCTTGCTAGAATTGTCTGTGATAATAGATAGATAACACTGGCTCGAAACACATCCTCCATCAATGTAGGAGGTACTATTTTGGATAGGACAAATATTTTAAACAGGTTTGTTTTTTATCCTTTTTAAACATATCTACAATAAAATCAAAATATTAGGACTTCAGTGATGAATTTATAGAGACAATGTTATTCATGATCATAAATTACCAACAAAATTTTTAAA